GACACGGAAGTCACCAAGCACAGGTGGAACCACCTTCCACGAAACTCAGTTGACTCCAACTAACTAAATTTTTTTTAAAGGCATTTGATTCTCTCTCCTCATTCTACTTCCTTCTGCCAACCAAGTGAGCATGACTTAGGTCCTTCTCCCTGCCAAAAAGAACCAATCCAAGAGCCGAGATCCACCCCAACTTTTGCCAACAATGCCTGCCCCTGGAGAAACTCCATGATGAAACCCAGGAGAAAGGAATTCTCTTTCGTAAAAGCCCTAATCAAGGGCACCTGGGAGGCTCAATCTGTTAAGAATCTGCCTTCGGCTCAGGTCATGATCCTGGGGTCCTGGGACAAGTCCCCCCATTAAGCTCCCAGATCAGTGGGGGGCCTGCTTCTCCCACTCCCTCTGCCCCTCCCCACTGCTTGTGCACACTCATTCTCTCTCAAATAGATAAATAAAATCTTTTTAAATAAATAAAGCCCTAATCAAGTCCACGGCAGACCTAGTGCCCAGGTAGTACGATCCTGACCCATTCAGTTTGCCTCTGGACCCTGTTTTCCTCAGCTGTAAAAATGAAGGGCTTAGATTCCTGTTAACAAGAAAACTCAGAATTCTCAAGGGAGATGCCCTCTTGCCAACTTTAACCACATTTCGGTTTTCTCTATTAAGATTCAGAAAAGATTTCATGAAGGGTAGCATAACTAAAACCTGCTTGCAGATGACTCCTTGCCCACCCCTGAGGACATCCTAAGGAACTCATCTGGGGCAGCCATAGTTTAGCATCTATGCTAGGGTAGGGGTGGGTCTTGCAACCTGAGAGGGCAGTGCTGGGCTTGAATGGGCTTAAGAGCAGACGCAAACCTTCTTTCCAGTCCCCACACAGGCAGAGAAGAGCCTTACAGCACAGGTGACATTTCCAGGAGAAAGCCCCCCCCCCCCCAGTGCAATGAACACCACGGATCCAAATGTTCTGTATGATGCGATACACAAGGACCCCGGGTTCCAGCCCTGCCTATGCATCTGATTCACCTGCACAGTTTGTTATAGAAGGTCTTCTCCCTAGACCTACAGAATCAGAACTCCCAGGAATGGATCACAGTGATCATTTCAACAAGCCCCCACGGACTGTGATGACCAGCTTGGAGAACCACTTATGTTCTTCTTGGCAATAGGGAAACCAAGAGGGTCATTTCTGATGGGCCCTAATGAAGGCTCTCATAAAGACCTTCCAGGAGGAACAAAAGAGAAATCACATCAGCAGTCAGACGTCTGGGGCACTCTGACAACTCTTAGAACCGCAGAATCCAAGCGAAGGACAGCAGCCCAGCCACACCAAGGCCACACTCCTGTCGCAATCCGGATCCCCCCGCTAGATGGCAGACACGCACCAGACAGCCTCACCTGGCAGGGTGCCTCCTTCCCAGCAGCTTTGGGTTAAACCCCTTCCCTCCGCGGTGAAGCCAGAGCAGGATCGCATGCCTTGTATGCCTTGCAGGAGGGCGGAAGCGAAGTGAAGGTGTACAGAAGGCTGGAAAGGTCCGAAGGAAGTATTGCCATGAGCGTCGGAAATTTCACGAACTAAAAAGAAAGAACAATAAAGAGGAATCTTGAAACCTCCACAGCTGCTATTACCTCACATGAGAGAATCCTGGGGTTTCGGCAGAAAACTCCCAGAGACACGTGAGATTTGAAGGCAGAGGTCAGGGGATCCCTGGGTGGCTCAGTGGCTTAGCGCCTGCCTTTGGCCCAGGGTGCGATCCTGGAGCCCCGGGATTGAACCCCGGGATCGAGCGAGTCCCACGAGGGGACTGGAGCCTGCCTCTCCCTCTGCCTGTGTCTCTGCCCCTCTCTCTCTATGTCTATCATAAATAAAATCTTTAAAAAAAATGAAGGCAGAGGCCACACTGGCTTTCCTTGGCTGCGGGCAGCCAGCGCTCAACAAATACTGCATTGAATCCCATGCCCTTGTCATCCTGCAACACATCAGAGGAGGCAATGATGTAGCCCAAACGGACCCTCAGTATCAGAGCGGAACGCCGAGCAGGGGCTGGACTGTAGGACAGTGTTCGTGCCAGGCAGCTTCATGTTATCCGGCCCCTCATCTTCACTGGTTTAATTGAGAATCTATGTCTGGGTTTAGTCCTAACTCAAGCTGATTCATTTGGCTCTATTATTTCAGGTTCACAGTTGATTGGGGGGGAGGGGATATATATATATATATTTTTTTTCTTTAAGTTTATATACAGGGATGCCTGGGTGGCTCAGCAGTTGAGCATCTGTCTTTGGCTCAGGGCATGATCCTGGAGTCCTGGGATTGAGTCCCACATCGAGCTCCCTGCATGGAGCCTGCTTCTCCCTCTTCCTGTCTCTGCCTCTCTCTCTGTGCCTCTCATGAATAAATAAATAAATTCTTTTTTTTTTTTTAAGTATAGATACAGGCGTAGCCCAAGATTTAGCCAGTGATTTAACTTCATTCTAGGTTAAGTTCATCCTAGCAAGCCATCTGTTTAAACTCAGCTTCAAAAATAGAAACCTTAAACAACACCAACAACAAAACGGGGCACCTGGGAGGCTCAGTGGGTTAAGCGACCCTCCGACTGTTGATTTTGGCTCAGGTCATGATCTCAGGGTGGTGAGATGGAGCCCCCTGTTGAACTCCACACTCCAGCGAACACTGCTTGAGATTCTGTCCCTCCTTCCTGCCCCTCCCACCACACCTGCACCCATGCTCTTGGTCTCTCAAATAATTAAAAAAAAAAAAAAATCCTGGGATGCCTGGGTGGCTCAGCAATTGAGCATCTGCCTCCGGCTCAGGGCATGATTCTGGGGTCCTGGGATCGAGTCCATCAGGCTCCCTGCATGGAGCCTGTGTCTCTGCCTCTCTCTGCCTCTCTCTCTCTCTCATGAATAAATAAATAAATAAATTATTTAAAAAATATTTAAAAAAATAATAAAATATTTAAAAAAAATCTAAACACGTTCCATCAGCAGATGATGACAGGAATGCCTCTCAAAGCGAACCTTCCCACGTCCCAGGTCCCCTTCTCCACCCCTCTCTCTTCCGTAGAGTCTTTAAGCAGGTTCTAACCGGGTTATTTTCATCTGAACGGAGGAAGGGGTTTGATTCAAAAGCACTAGTCAAACGGGATTCTGCAAGCTGTGGGGCAGGAGGTTGGATGGGAGGATGTTATGACAGAGGGCGGGGAGACAAAGGGAACTTGCCAAGGGCCTCACTGGCCTGTCCCCACTGTCCCTCCGCCTATAAGGGAGCAGGACTGGAATGGGAGAAATGAGCTGGGCCCCAAGCAAAGCTCGAGAGGTGGTCCACCGAGGTCCGTCCGAGGCGGTGGAGAGCGACGCAAAGGGAAACAGGGCTAAGCCGGTTTTGCACAACCACTACCTGTGCGACAGCAGGCCCGGCACCTGGTCCGTGACGGCTCGCGTCTTCCCGGGCCTGTAGATGACGGTCATGCTGGACGATAATACCAGCTCTTGCAGAAGCACCTGTTATTTAAAAACACAGCAGCCTTCTGAGCGTGGATCCTCTTAAATGACAGTCCCCTCGGATCCGCTGCATTCCTCGATGGCTTTGCACGTATCACTCAAACAAGTGTCTGGAAACAGCAGAGTGGCTCTGCGCTGTCGACCTTCAAAATAGAACCGCCAGTTATTTTACCGGCAAAAGATGGGTTTATTTGGGAAGAGCAAAGACTTGCAAAGCGTGAGGACCCAACGGGGGCAAAACCAGGGACACCACTGCGGAGCAAAGGAGAGGTACGGGCTTTTATAGGGGGAAGGGGATGTGGAAGGCTGTTACGAGCAAGCCCATTGGAGCAAACTGGGGGTAGGAAGTATAGTGGCTTCTCATTGGCTGAGCTGTGCCGGCTTCTCATTGGCTGGGCTGTTGCGGGTCTCTCATTGGCTGAGCTGTGTCGGCCTCTCATTGGCTGGGCTGAGCTGTGCCGGCCTCTCATTGCCTGGGCTGTTGCTGGCTGGAGAGAAAGTAAGCCTTTCTTCCTCCAATCCCGATGGTCAAGTAGCATCCCTGCACCAGGTCCTCTGCTGTGGGATTTGCCTTTAACGAGGAGGGGTTTGTGGGGAGGGGGCGAGAGCACCCCGCAGGACCTCCTGACTCCTGATTCTAGCGTGGTTTCTCTTTATTAATTTTCACGGCATGTAAGTGAGGGTGATTTGCTGTCTGGGAGGCAGTGGTAAAGGGATGGAAGCCGAGAGGCCGTGGGGGACTGGTGGCTAGGAAGGGCACAAAAGCCAATTATTTGACTGTCTCTGGTGGTGGGTGACCTAGGTCTTTTAAAAACAAGATGTAGGAGAGGCCTAAGTGGCTCAGTCGGTAGAGCCTGACACTTGGTTCCCCCCAGATCATGATCTGAGGTCTTGGGATCCAGCCTGGACTCAGGCAGGTTCTGTGCTCAGCATGGGGGGCTGCTGGAGATTCCCCCCGCCCATCCCCTGGCTCACGCTGGCACATTCTCTCTCTCAAATAAATAAAATCTTTAAAACAGGGAGATGAATATCTGCATCGATTGCTATATATTCAGGGCAATCACACACATGCACATGTGAGTTCTCCTGAAGTCGTAATGTAAACTTCCTCCACCCACTCCCATCAAGTTTTCTTCATTTAGAAGGTTGCTTGGGGTTTCAGTGTGGGAGGTGAGGGAAGGAGTGGTGAATGGCTCAGGGCAGGCAGTGACGGAGGAGCTGGCAATAACTGCATGATGCGGAGCTGGAACATTCCAGAGATCCAAACCTTCCCAGAAACCTTGGCCCTGGCTTTTGGGAACAGAGACAGGGACAGAAGAGAAATGCACAGGGGCACCTCTCACCAGCATTCCAGGCTGAGGTCTGGGGTCCAGCCCAGGGCTGCAAGGCTTAGGGACAGCAGGCTGCGTGCATGCAGCCCCCTGGTCACATCCGCTGAGCCCTCACGCCCACTGGCCTCAGTCACTGCTCCTCCTGCCCAAACACCACAAAGGAGACAAGAATTGGCTCTTTTGTTGTTGTTCAGTCTTTATTTACAGCAAAGTACATAGTATGTGGTCATTTTTGTAGCTACTAACAATAAGGGCAGGGTGGTAGAAAGAAAAGGAGAAGAGCAAGCATAAGAAAGAAAGAAAGAAAGAAAGAAAGAAAGAAAGAAAGAAAGCAAGCCTACGTCTCTAGCTACTCACCCTGTTCCTGAGGCAGGACCAGCTAGGCCCTCACTGCCTCTAAGAGCAGCAAGGAAGCTGAACTGGAACACCAGCCACCTGGCCTAGTAAGGAGGGCAGCACGGGGCCCCAAGACAAAAGATCAAAGGGGACTCTGAACCCCACACTGACCCCAGTGCTCTCCCCAGCCTGTCCTCTGCCTTGTACTGCACACCAGGCCTGTTCCCCCCACCCCACCCCACCCTGAGGTAGGGTGAAGGGCAGTTAGGGAAATCTAGGCAGTCCTTCCCAGAAGCACAGCCCTGCAATCCAGAACCTGCCCTAGCCTGCCTAACCCAGCATGGGTCCCTGATGCTGGACTCACTGACAGGCAGGGGTGAGACTCCAGAGCAGAAGAAAACGCTGCCCTTCCCTCTGCCAGCCTTTAGGTGTTAGCACAGATCAAGGGTGCTGAACAAGGACAGCAAAGGCGATACACAAACTGACTGGGCTCCCGTCCCTCTTGCTTCCCAACCGCTCTGAGGAGCCTCCAGTCTGACCTAGTGGCCTAACGAGAGACTGGCAATCTGCCCTGGGCCCAGAGACAAGTGTTCGCTGCTGAGCCCAGGAGAGGGAGGGCAGCAGCATCCACGTGACCACTGGGCAGCCAAGACCAGAGCAAGTTGTCGCCGGAACCGCTGGCTCTGGAGGATGAACTGGAGACCTTCCCTGGCGACCTCCCCTGGCCTGTTCTTCAGGGATCCCCTTGTCTAACCGCCTCGAGGGTCCATCCTATTCACTGCAAACCAAATTCACCTCCTCGGGTCTAAATACTTGCGGGCTCCTCATACAGACTCCAACAGTCTCTCTGCCCCTACCGGCCTCAGGCTGCCCAAGAAAAAGAAACCCGGGTCAGCACAAGTTCCATTAGCATGAAAGAGTTATGAGGTCAGGCCTTCCCAGGACACAAAGCTTGGATGCTTGTTCCCCAAAACACTTGGTCTGTGGGTCATGCCTGGGCCGGGGAGTGGGGTGTGGGGGAGAAGCAAGCACCATTGGGCAGCTTTGAAGCCACAGGACTCCCATGCACACGTAGTCAACATTACCCCATCCAGCTTGTCGGTACCTCCCCCCTGGACCACAGAGGGGACCCAGAGCACTCAGGTCATGGTTTCTGGCCTAGGGTCATGGTGTCTGGTCTAAGGAGCCTACCCCTGACTCTCCAGTGGAACCAGAGATCTAGTGACTCTCAAAATACCAAGCCCAGGATTTGTCATATAGAAAGCTCAAGTTCAGAGAGTTAGCTGAATGCTGGGGTGGCCACACGGGGGCAGAGCTGCTCATCCCTTACTTGCTCCAGACACAGTGTATCACAGAACCGAGGGAGTTGCCGGTGCTGCCCAGTAGGCACAGCCCGGTGCCCCAAGCCAAGCCACCAAGAATCATGGGTGATGGTTTTCCCAGGAGGCCAGGCAGCCCTCGAGCCATTTCCCAGCGAGGACTGGGCTACTCAGAGACACTGGAGGCTTGGTCCCAACACCACAGGTAGATGAGGAAGCAGCTAAGGACGTCAAGGCTCAGAGATGAGAAGACTCCATCTTCCAAGGCAGTGGGACAGACAGCCAAGGCACTAAATGGTTTGGCACCTGGGAGCTTCAAGTACAGTCGAATGAGCTACCCACCGAAAGGCCAAGGCTCCCCCAGACGGGGGTGGGCTGCCCCTGAGCACAGGGAAGCCCCAGCAAGGCCTTGGGTCCTCAGGATCCTAACCCAAGCCTGCCACCCGCCCTTCATCTTAGAACCATACAGGGCACGACGACAAAGAGAATACTGGTTCTGAAACATTCCAGAACGTATTCAACCCGGTGAGCTGACCGGCCTTAGATGGAGGCACCTCGGGAGCCTCCCCGTGCTCCGAGCGGGCAGCGGCTGCCACAGGGAGCTCCCTGCAGAGCCCGCAGCCGTCTCCTGAAAGTCTCGGGTGGGGGAGGCTCTGCGGGGGAGGAGGTTTGACTTTTTGAAACAGCCAAACAGAGTGAGAGCCGAATGGAGTCCAGAAAAGGGGGACCAAAGGTGGAGGTCACTAGGTCAGAGGGACAGTTCGGTGTGACTCGAGAGTAGCAGTGTCAGGTTTTCCTGAAAGGCTCCAGTGGGCTAGGAAAGCAATGGAGGGAGAAGGTTCCCCAAAACATTTCGGGTGCCGGCAGCCGCCGTGGGGCAGCTGCCAGCCTGGCCTGGAGGGCACAGACGTGGTCAACCAAGAAATGAAAGCCTCTGGCTCGTCTGCAGTTAAAAGCGGAGGCTTGAGGACCCTAGCGTCATACCTGCGAGGGCTGGCCTGGTCCCACCTCCTCCCCCAAGGATCTGCAGGCATCTGTACCTCTCCCGGAGAGGGAGCCCTCAGGACAGGTGGGCGTCTCTAACCCTGTAACTATGGCCTAAGGCAGCCTGCCGGGCCGCTGCTAGGGACCATCCGGCCACCAGTCCCTGAGTCTGGGCGAACAGAAACTCGCACTCACTCCCCGCACGGGCAGGGCCCTCACCACCCTGTGAAGGGTGGTCGCCAGCCGTCCTTCTGCCAGCAGAAGTCCCCAGCCGAAGCCCAGAAGCCCAGACTCCGGAGGCCACCTGCGGAGCAAGGCCCAAGGACTCTGCTGGAGGAGTTCCCTGGGAGGCAGGGGGAGCCAGCGTTTCCTCGAACACCACGGCAGGTCCCATTCTACTCTCTCCTTCCCCATCTTACTGGGAAATGAGCCAATCAGATAGATCCCTTTCGGGGAAGGAGGGAGAGGCAGCTCTGGCTTCTGGAGACGCTGAGAAGTGGACGGAGGGAGGGAGGGGCAGGAGCGACCCGGGCAGCCAGAGGTGGGGCAGCGGGCAAGGAGAAAACACAGAAGACTTGTTCTCCTCAGTGGGTCTCTTCCCTGAGTTTGATTTTTGAGCTGAGGTCTTGCCTAATTTCAACTCAAAAAAATGAAAACAATTAAAAAAGGAGAAGAAGAAGAAGAAAAGCAGAGAAAAGAAAAGGAAAAAGGAAAGAGTATCTCTTGTCGACACACCATTAAGTTCCAGCTCCAAGAAGGTGGCATCTGGCAGGGGAGGGGCAACCCAAGGCTCCCAACTCCACCATCCTCCAGCTGCAGAGACTACAGCCGTGAGATGCGCCTCCTTCCTCCGCTGCCCGCCTCCCCCCACACCCCTGCCTGAGCCTGAGCCCCATCCCACCCCACTCCCGGAACACGGCAGCAACGGCCTCTCGGTGAGACTCCAGCTCGAGTCTCAAACACTCAAATACAGGCCCTTCTGCACAATACTTACAGCAAACAGCTTTACAGTATTTGTACATTTACACAAAAATAGATCCTTTTATATATATATGTATGTATTTATAACTGGTTACACGTTGGATTCATAATTAGGCATCACCAGTAGTAGTTGGCACAGTTTGTCATTTAAGCTCAGGGTCAAATTCGATTTCGTTTCGCCGCTCCGAAGCAAAAAAAAAAAAAAAAAAAGGAAAAACAAAGGCATGTCATCTCCATGGTGTTTTCTTAAATACAGCAAATGTCATAGGAAACCACATGTACGGATGAACAGAGCCTCTTGATCCCTCCTCCTGTCTCTTGAAGGTAGGGGCCGGGTCTGAAGGAGACAGGGGTCAATGTGGCCGGCTGCTGGACTCCGATGACTGCCTCTTGCGTGAAGGGATGTAGCCGTTGAGATAGCCATTGGTCTGCCGTTTGGAGAGCCCTCCGTTCAGGATGTCCTGAATGTGCTGCACAATGAGGTTGATGGCCACTGTGGGGCACAGAGCGGCCGCGTTAGGGATGGTGCAGGGAGGGGACCAGCCTTCCACCAGGGGACCCATCAGCACTGCCCCCCCAAGTCCCAAGTAGACTGACCCCTGCAGAAGAAGGTTCTTTCCTCCAAGGAAAATGTGATATGGGGCTCTCTGTTCTCAGCATTAGAAATATAAAGTATACAGCCTGCTTAAGATTCTCTCTAGCTCTAAAATTAATATTTTAACAAAATCTTTTTTAAAAAATTAAAAAAAGAAGACACCGTGAAATATATTCATCGCTATGATGGACACCAAATGGTTCAGCCAAAAAAATTAACTGTTTAAGCGGAGGATGTTGAAATTTATTAAAAGGAGAATGAGAAATCCAGAAGTACCCCTACTTCTCAGACCAGCCAAAACCTATAAATAGATAAATAAACACAACCAGCTCCCTTTCAGAAGGGCTACCTTGATGGCAGGTCATTCTAAATCAAGATGAAAATGTACTTTTGCTAAAGGGTGGCCTTGGATGCAAGGCCTCTGAGGGTCATTGCTGGGAGTGACAGCCAAGGACAATCTCCAGCCCTCTGCTTTCTGCTGGAGAAGCACGAGTTCCTGTTTGTCACTATGCACGTATGCATGGGGGCCTCTCCCCAAGGCCAAACATGTAGGCAGAAATTCCTTTCTGGCCCCCAAGAGCAGACCAACAGTGGTTCAGCCACTGTCCATGGAGCCTAGTTTGGTCACCACATCCTGCCCCAAGTATGACTGACATAGGGTAGAAGTCATGCCCCATGGGATGACCCCCCACCAGGACTCACCGAGGTTATCTACACCTCTCGGAATGATCACATCAGCGTATTTCTTGGTCTGTGGAGAAAGATAGTCACAAGGCATTAAAGAGGAGTTCCAGAGAAAGCAGCCCAAGCCCCTGTTGAGGGGTTATGGGGAGTGGGGTCAGCCTTCCCACCACTGACCCCAGAGAGCGGCACTTGAGGCTGCGAGCATAGTATTTTTTACCCCCTTTATCTAAATTACAATAAATCAGTCTCTTGATTTTTCATTATTAATGTTTTAATACTGTTCAAGCTCTGGCCTGCAGAGAACGTAGTCTTTCAAACCCAACTCATAACTGCGCCCTCCCTACTAAGAAAAATGTGAATTAGAAAAACCCAAATTTAAAAGGGATGTGGTTCACCTTGGACTTCTACACACAGTCTGAAAGGTGACACCGCTGATCCTAAAGCAAGGGTAAAGGGGATCCCTGGGTGGCTCAGCGGTTTAGCGCCTGCCTTCGGTGCAGAGCGTGATCCTGGAGTCCTGGGATCGAGTCCCACAGTCAGGCTCCCTGCATGGAGCCTGCTTCTCCCTCTGCCTGTGTCTCTGATCTCTCTCTCTCTCATGAATAAATAAAATCTTTTAAAAATAAGTAAGTAAGTAAATAAATAAATAAATAAATAAATGGTAAACAAACCCAGGAAAGACGACCCCCACTGATGACCATTTTCATCAGCTCTGGGATCCCACTTTAAAACAAAAACAAAAGCCACAATTAGATACATTCCCTTTTGCGTTTTCTTATTTTACTGAGATTTTTGTGGACCAGTTTACAAATAACTGTGCTCCGGTGTATGACCCACATTTAGAAGGAGACCAAATAAAAACTGTCTTCAGAATGTGGGCATCTTCTATACCAAAACCGTTCAAATGTAGCTGTGTCAGGCCCAAATCCAACCTGAACCAGGCAGACTGTTGATCAGATCCAAACTCCTGGCTTATGGAGGAGTGACCTGATCTTCCCTGAGCACAGAGGGGCTGGACTGTGGGGACAAGGAGAAAGCACCCAGAAAATATGCAGAATTCTAAGCTCCGTGATAATTAAGTTAAACAGCAGAGAATTGGCAGTTAAGGCTCATTTATGCCCAATCATAAGTTTACCTAAGTTCAAAAGAGCAGGAGAAGATAGATAGATGGAAGGATAGAATTTCCTGGCTCCTCAGCTATCCTCTGCCCTCTGCCCAGAAACCTAATCCTGTGACCCAGAGCTCTCCAGAGGAATGAGCAGGGCATCGGCGTGATTCAGGCTGACTCAGAAAGTCCACCTGTCCCATATCGGAAACAAAAGTCTGGTCTGGTTTGACGCAAAACCTACTCACAGACTTGAAGGAACACACAGTTTGAGATCAAACTTTTCCAGGAGAAAGCAAGACGTTAATAACAATGAGAACCCGAGAAATCCCCACGCCTCGATGCCCTAGGATTCCAGTCCCCCAGAAGAGATCGCCTAAGCTCGGGCTAAGTCCCCATGTCTCCCTGCTTTCTCTCAGAGCTGAATTATAAATCGTTAGGGAGTCGACCTGGTGAAGACACACACACGACACAGGTGCAGGCGTCTCCTGAGTTAAACACTTCTTCTCAGACGACATCATCTCCTACTTCTTCCTCTACCAGTCCTCCGTCCCCCACTCCACACCCTGGTGGCCCTCCCTCAACATTCACCTGCCTGTCCCCATGAAGCTCAGAGTTTTTCCTGTGCTGAGGGATGATTCGCTGAAAGCTAAAAATTCCCCATATCCCCAACCTTCTTTCCCTGAAAGCCACCTCCCCAGAGAGTTCCTAGCTGCCACTGGAGGAAGGAGTCGTCTGTGCCAGGGCAGAGGTATGGAAGCTTATTCCAGCATGGTGGGACGCTTCCCATATAGGAACTTACACAGGCCCCAAAGACAAGCTCAAAGGGAGGCTCCACGCGGTGGCGGAAGAGGTTCAGAAGCCCTCTGCACGCACCAATACTGCAACCATCACAGACCTTTGGAAGACCCAGATGGCCGAGCCTCTGCTTAGAGATGGTGCACCGTCACAGCTTGAGCCCACCAAGCAAGGGGCGCAGAGCTCGCTGGAGTCAGACAGCAGGCCCCCCGAGGGACCACTCTGCCAGAGATGATGGCCTACAGCTCCTAGAGAACACCCTGGGCAGCACACAAAGCCCCAAAGTCCGCCCTTCCTTGGGACTGGAGGTCAGAGGATCCCTCGGAGAGGAATGAAATCCAGGCTGGGGGGCTCCGTCAACTTATATACCTTTATTTGTACGGGTTAAGTTTTAAATTCTAAATTCAACAAAAAACAAAACCAAGGACACAACTCACTGGCAAGCAGAATTCCTCAAAGGCAGGCTTGACGAACGTAATGTACTGGGATAAAATCTGCTCAAGGTCCCTCCCTCTTTCGCTGATGTCCCTTAATACTATAAGAAAAGGAAAAACAAGAATCAAGAAAATGGTGCATGAGCCAACACGTGTCCGCCTTCCGTGAGGCAGACCCGGCTCACATGGACGCCACAATTACTCTGGATGGATGATTCACAAGCTGGATTCCTGAGAGACTTGACCAAGAGCAGGTCAGCAGCAGCTTCAAGAAAAACATGTTACATTTTTATGGCTATAGTCAAATTTGGCTCTGACCAAACGATCTCTGTCTGGCCTAAGCCAAGAGTCTCCTGGCTTCCAGCAGCATTTGACCCAAATAAAATGTCAGTGTGACACAACGTAAAAAGCAGGACATTCCTGCAGAGCTTGGAACGGGAAATAGACGGGGCCCAGAGAAGCAGTGGGGCTCTCTGGCAAAGGGCCCCCTGCTCACCTGGATGCCGTCCCCTTGCACTTACTTACCTGTGTGCAGTCCACTGACCTACTGCCGACGTGCCACCTGATTGCGCCTGGCTCCCCCCCACATTTCAGCCCCTACGGGGTGGAGGGCAGGCAGAGGGTCCAGCTGTGGTCAGCCATTCCTGCTAACCCCAAGCACAGAGGACTGCGAGCAGAACACCACTTAGGTGAAAGATGACCACACCACGGTGTTGGAAACGGTGAGCTGGAGGTGTAGGGCCACCTGGATGGGTCCACGCTCACCATCTTCCACCTTCTTCCTCTGGGGCAGTGGTTCAGGGGCTTGCATCAAACACCTTGATTATTTTAATAGAGCCTCTTGTCAAACAAAACAAAACACAAAAACAGAAAAGGGTCTGACCACCACCGAAGGGACTGGAGTCCTGGCTCAGCCACTCTACACTAACTGCCCTGAGCCTCAGTTTCTCCCCCAAACTCGGTAATGAGAGTTTGGGAGGGGATTCTCTCAGTCAAAACACCCCGCCCTACAGATGTTTTGTGAACCTTAGTACCACAGCCGCTCAATCTTCCACCTCCCACCCCAAAGGGGAACCCTATCCATCAACAACCACTCAGGAAGGCCCCTGGGGGCTCCTCGAGACCATAGGTTCTGGCGTCAGCGTGGGAGGAAACTCACTGCAAACAAACCAGGGAATGCCTGTGGGTGAATTTCTGGAAAGCCGTGTCTCTAGGTGATTCTGTGCTTCACGTGCGCGTGCACCCGTGCAGGCAGGGGCAGGAAGGAGGGAGGTGCCTGTGATTAGGACTGGGGCTGGCAGGGACCTGGGAGCTCAGACGACTAGAAGACTGTCAGGAATACCACATTCCAGAGGGTCGGGTGACAGTGCCATAGCAGGGACTCCTCTAGCAGCTCCTCAATCTACAGGGAGATTTCTCTGCTCTGATGAACCCGGGTCATCAGAGGGTTGGCTGGTCGCTGATCAAGGGTCAGGCTAGCGGCGGTGCCTCCCCGAGCCAGGAGATGGTGTTCTCAGGCATTCTGAGGCGGGGCCTGGCGGCTGGGCCAGGGAGACGTGGCCAAGGAGGCCGAAGAGCCGCCACGTGGCTCATCCCCACAGGCCTCCAGGGCCCTTGGCACACCGGCCACCGAGCTCCCCTCGGCCAAAACACACAGTCAGTGTGGCCTCTAATTCTTCACGTCTCCAGATAAAGTACAAAGCAAAAAAAAAGGAAGCCAGGGCAAAGGGTATCAGGACCAGGGAAAAAAAACAAACACAGGCCCGCCCGCACTTAGGCAGCCTTTCCTTAGAAGTCCTGCAGAGGCCTGATGTGCTTGTTTCACAGGACACGCTTTTCACACAAGTGCTGATGGCTCTGGCAGCACGGGAACCTTTGTCCAGCACGCACACACGGGCACACGGCCTCTCACGTAGCTCTGCTACTGCCCTGAGCCCAGGCCCGCGGCTCCCTGGTGACCCGCAGACCCAAGAGCTTCACCTGCCACGCCACTGCAGAGGGGAGAGTCACACAGAGTCGGCTCTGGGGGCCCACGGCGACCCCTGGGGCCACCACGGAGAGTACGACAGGCAGAACGGAGCTGGATGTGAATCCTGACCCCTCCCTCTTACCTCTGTGACCTTAGACAGGTTATTCGACCTCTGCGAATCTCATTTTCCTTAACTGTAAAACAGAGACACGATACAGAGACTTCCTCAGAAGGTCAGGAAAACAGGGAGACGTACAGAAAACCTCAGTACCGTGGCTGGTGCATCGTGCGCATTCATCAACCTGAGCTCCTACCACGGGTTACAGTGTAACAGAATCTGGGAAGCTTCTAGGGAGCAATGGCTCCCTGACAGAGCAGACTCCTGGGAGGGCAGCATCGGTGTGCTTAGGTGGGCTCAGGTGGGCTCAGGTGAGCTCAGGTGGGCTCAGGGGGGCAGGTCAGACGCAGCTGAGAGCTGAGGGAGGGGGGAGGTCCTGCGGCGCTCCAACACGTGGAAAGACGCAGGGGAGAGGGAGAAACAGGGGACAGAGAGGAGCCTCCCACAGTTTCTACCCCAGAAAAGGAAACAGGAAATGGGTGAGAATGCTGCCCAGATGCTAGGAATGTGCAAAAGTAAAAGGCATCACCCACCTCTGCTCCCCAAGAGCCTTCCACCAAGTCATCACGTTCAGCACCCTGAGACCCCTCCTGAGCTGGGTCGGGACAGCACAAGGCCAGCCAGGTCACTGCTCCCCAGTCTCCCCAGTGCCCCGCTCCTCAGGCCGAGTCAGGAAACAGGGCCAAGCCAAGGACTGACTCAACAGGGTCTTGACACAACCCGGGAACTCCAGGGACTCGAAACCTGGTCATCACTCTGACTCGGCACATTTGCTCGGAAAGGAAAGGCCCATTCCGAAGAGGGGGTAAAGGGCAGGAAACAACCCGTCTGCCCACCTTCCCAGCTTGGCTTCCACGGCCGCCCTTCCAAAGCCACCAGGGCTCCTCTGGTCAGCCAAAGCCAAGGACGAGATCTAGAAGGACCTGGACTAAATTACAATTCCTCCATTGCTCAGTCGATTGATTCACTTTGAAAACTAGTCAAGGAAACGTGTTGCCGTAGTGAACACAACAGACTGTCCCAAGGTCCACTGCAGCCCTGACGCTGTGGGAACGGGACACAGAACTAGAGCAGGGGAGAGGGCAGGGGTCAGCCCTCCGTGGCCCCCTCAATTCTTCCCGGCCCCCGAATCTGAGGGCAGGTTAGAGTACATAACACACACGGAGGGACGGTGAAAGCTGAAAGAAGCCAATACCCCCGCAGTACGAGGGGTTCCCAGGGGGTGGAGGTCAGTCTTTCCAAGGCTGCATGGCCCCACACGGAGGAGTCCTGGAATCCTGACCCCGGGGGTCGCAGGCCCAGGAAGCAGGACATGCGGTGGGGGTAAAAGCAGGACCCCAATCAAGTCTACAGGAACTTCTTCTGCCCAGCGGCTGCTCCTGACGAACCCACCCTCCCTTCCCACAAAGCACATGCCAGGCATGGTTTTTGTCCTACGTGGGCAGAGAATGAATTTGTAGAAACAGCATGTGGAGAGGCCCTGCCAAGTCCACCACGGAAGGGACTCGCCAGCAGGTGACACGAGAAGACAGAAGGTCTGCGAGGAAAAGCGGCAGCCTCCCCGGGAGCAGCGGGAATGCGGGGGTGATAGGACCGACCCGGAGAAACCCCACAGGGAGCCACCGTCACCTCATGTGTCCCCCCCTACCCCCGGTTTCGCACAAGGATCCTGGGACAAAGGAGCAAGAGGGGGATCTTCTGTGTCATCGGCGCCACAATGATCTGTTTGAATCACAGGCCAAGAGAGTCTGATTTCCAAGGACCCTGAATCCTGTAGTTCTCGAGCCTGGTTCTCACCTCCTGCACCTCAGCTCGCGCACCCTCCTCCCTCAAACATGACTGTACCGCGATGATGCCATCAGCTCCGTGTCCCAGCTCCTGAGGACGTGGAGACCCCCCAGAGCTTCTGACCAGTCCTGGAGGGAAACTCAGGAAAACAGAACATCCACTATCTCAGGCAAAGCAGGCTTCTGATCCGGCACGCGGACTGTTACCAACCAACGCCCCACCAGGCATTTTTCCTGTGTTTGCCCCTCATCCTCACGACCCAGGGATACAGGTCGGTACCGAATCAACCCATGGGATTACCCCTATTTGACAGGTACAAAGAGGTTACGACATAACCTGCCCGAGGTCACCATATCTACTAGATGGTGAAATCAGGATTTAAGTCCAGTACATGGGACTCCACAGTCTTTTCACCCGGGTGTATCGTGCTGCCTCCCTGATTTGGCAAAGTAATGGGGACACTGAGCAGATCAACCAAGGCAGGACCTGGGTTTGGGAACTAAGGTGATAAGCCAGGCCCTGGCGCAGATGCGTGAGGGATGGGCAGGCTCAGGCCTTGACTATTAAAAAAGACCATGCGGCTCTTTCCTGGCCAAAGTCACGACCCTAAAAACAGGGCTGTCCCCTTCATATTACCCATTAAGAAACCTGAGCCTGGGACATCACACGAGTCCCAAGAGTCACCACCAAAGTCCCAAAGCTAGCTGGAGGCCGTGGACTAGAATATGGGCCTGCCACTCTCCTGTCGTCCATCGCGAAGTTCTATCCCTCCCCGACCCCACCTAGGAGCAGAAGTTGTCACCACAACTCACTTCTCATCAAGTGCAGACGCTACTCCTGGGGAGGACAAAACTCAGGGACTCATTCCTCTATATTCTGCTGGTTCTGTTTGTGAGTTCTTGCAAAGAGAGGGCTTAAGTGGATAAACCACAAATTTGTTTCATGAGCCGAGAAGAGAAATCATCACGGGCTTTGAGGTCAGAAGGGCTAGAACTTAAAAAATTCTGCCCATGATTTGCTCTGTGACTAGGAGCCACCCTTGTCACTTCCTGGGTCTCGTTCCTCTTCTGCGCGACAGGGACTCGAAGTCTTGCTCACTTGCCTCCACTTCCCTTTCTCTCTTCCTTGCCCATACCCTGCCTTGGCCCCCACGGGGGTTGGGGGGTGGGGGCTGTCATGTTCTGACTCTGCTCGAACCATCATGTCCCTCCCCAACCCTCCCCGCCCTGCCCTGCCCCACCTCCTGCAGCAGCCCTACCTGCAGTCTTGACTCCCATCTGCTCCATCAGAGTAATCTCCCCAAAAGAGACCCAAGGCCCTTTCACTTGCCCTCAAAACCCCTCGGTAGCTCTCTCCCTGTCTACCAGGGACCAAATCGGAAGCCACAGCCCCTATGATCTGCCCCAAGCAATGTCTAGCATCTCTTTGGTCAGCCTTCTAGGAACTCCAGCCACCTGCTTCCCAGAACAAGCCCTGTGGGTCTGCATTTGCACCGTGATTTTTTGGGTTGTCTACGTCATCACCCTCGCACACCCCCATGAAGCCTCCTGATTCCCTCTAGTGGGAGCAAGGGCTCTGCTCAATGTCCTGCGGAGCTGAATTCATGGGCTCCGCTCCCCAGCAAAGGGCAGTTCTGTGTCCTCAGGACACCAGGCAGAGACTCACTCAGGCACACCCTCAGTAAGGGCTGCATAGGAAGCGACCGACCGACCCTGCTCCGCAGCTGGCCGGACAGCATGACAAAACTTCCACTGAGCTTTCTGGAGAAGAAAGGGCTAGAGAAGTGAGCTGCTGGGACAGGCTGCCCCGTGCTGCAGGTACTAGGTATTCATTCCTGCCCCTGGATGGCCTACAGTTAGCTCCTGTCTTGATTACGATGCCTTTGGGAAAACCATAAGGAACTGGGCATTTAATCACAGTTTTTCCCAGCAAAACCAAAACGTAAACTTATTTCATCTCCGTGACCTCACAAACCTTTCATCATCCAAAAAAAACCCCACAGAGACTAATCCCTCCTCAGATGTCACCCAATGTTTGATCAGCAGGACATCCTGGGCTGAACTGACTCAGTTGGACTGGGCCACCCACCGGGGCCACCAGAGGCTCATAGGACGCACCTCTGCGGGAGAGCCGGGTGTCCGCATCTGTGTCCACGAAAAGCTTCATCTGGAACAGGTCTCGCACCTCCTGGGAGTAGAAGGCCAGGATCCCTTCAAAGAGCACCACATCCGCGGGGTAGACAGTGACTGTCTCCTCCTTCCTGCAAAGCACAGAGCAGATGATGGGCTGAACCAGGCAGGGCGAGCACATGGAGGAGGACACAGCATCTGTCTCTGAGTCGGGGGTCCTTCCCCATACGTGTACAGCAGGACCAAAAGGGGGAGCTCACCCCCCAGCCCTGCTGAGCTCTCGGACCACCGACGAAGACCCGCCAAAGGGCCATCACCACTGGGGCAAAGGTCCCCTCTGACCAGTTCTTCTGAACTGTCTCCTGGGGACAGATAACATGCTGTGGAACGCACAATAGCAACAGACAGAAGCAGATGTGATTTCTTCTTTTCCCTGGAGGCGTCTCCAGGAATGCTCTCGTGCCCGGCATTTAAGGAAGCTAACGCTGAACTTTCACAAAACAGAAACTCACAGTTTTCTCCCAACAACCCCACCCCTCCCCCTGTGCGGAGGCAACTGGTAGGAGGCAGGAAGGGATGGGAGAGGAGGAGGCAGAAAAAGGAAGCTGCGGGAAAGAGGGGAGAGGAGAGGAAGCATCTACAGGGAAGGAAAGCCTCCGGAGCTCTGTCGGGTCTGGCTCCACCACAAGCAGCATTGTGGCCGTGGGTCAGGGCTGTGGGGTGCTCCTCCCCCCCCTCCTCTCCCTCCCACCCTCCTCGATGAGACAGGGGTACCCATTACCTCTCCATCTACCCCACAGGGTCGCGATCTGATTCTGTCCTAAGCATCACCTACTGACTCTTGCTCAAAAGTCACTGAAAGGGAAGTAATAGTAACCGCTGCAAGACTTACTACTCACGTGGACATTTATGAATAAAACCCAAGAAAACAAATTTTTTTTAAGGTTCCTTAAGACAATGGGTTTATCAGTGGAAACACAGGGAAGTCGGCGGCTGCCAAGTCAAGAGGATGCACTGAACTTCCCTCCCATAAACACTCTTTGATTCCTTATTAGCTCAGAGCCTTGGGTTCCTGTCTAAATTCTAAGGCAGGCGCTGCTGGAGTGACTACCAAAGTGGCAGAATGTGGGGCAGAAAAGACAACAGAAGAGGACCAGGTGAATAAGAGTAGGAGACACTGTGGAACAGTGATGTTCTCTGGATGAACACAGAATCATCTAGGGAGCTTTTAAAAAACACCTATCGGGACGCCTGGGTGGCTCAGCGGCTTGGCGCCTGCCTTCGGCTCAGGGCATGATCCTAGAGTCCCGGGATGGAGTCCCATGACAGGCTCCCTGCATGGAGCCTGCTTCTCCCTCTGCCTGTGTCTCTGCCTCTCTCTCTCTGTCTCTCATGAATAAATAAATAAAATCTTTAAAAATATAAAAATAAAAAACACCTATGCCTGGGGGCACCTGGGGGGCACAGTCGGTTAAGAGACCACTCTGGGTTTCAGCTCAGGTCATGATCTCAAGGTGATGTGCCTGAGCCTCTGTGCTCAGGGTGGCATCTGCTTAAGATTCTCTCTCCCTCTCCCTCTGCCCCCATGCATGCATGCACTCTCTCTCAAATAAATAAATAAAATCTTAAATTACAAAAAAAATGTATGCCTGGGCCCTGTTCCCACGGGGCTCTGATTTTATGAGTCTAAGGCAGAGCCAGAGCACTGGTCTTTTTTATAAAACCGCCCCAGATGTGTCTAATGTACAAACCAGGGTTGAGGAGAGCCCGTTGGAGGAACGTCGCCTACCAGAAAACAGGGTGCCCACCATGGCTCAGGATGAAGAACCTAACTGGGCAGAGTTCAGAAGGGAAATGGGCTAGAAAAGAGGCTCTGTGAGTGAGTAAAATTATGAGCCACTGTGGGCAACTGCCCTGCACCAAGGAGGGGGCTGAAGAGTCTCTGCTGGGAAAAAGCAAATGTGTGTATGTTGGGGTGGGGGAGGGCGGGCTCCCGGGGCTCCGTCTGGAAAACACACTACCAGGGAGCACTGTGACCGTGCTAGGGGTACGTACGCCCACGCCAGATCAAGCACGGATCAGGACACCCAACAAATAAACACGAACAAGGAACAGATGGTTTTCCAATTCAACAAACATGCCTTGGTCCTAGGAAAGCCAGGGGAACGTAACTGTGCTGTTGTTGCAGCTCCAAGAGGTGGGAATCGATCCCTACCCAAGTGCACATGTACATTTAGAGAGGAGAACCCTTCAAAACAGCCCAGAGCTTAAAAAAAAAAAAAAAAAATCTATTGGGCAACTACCAGCCCAGAACGTGCAAGGAGCCACACTTGGTGCAACGTTCCATTTACAAGTTCAGAGTCTGGCTGGGAAGTCCACAGGGTAACCTAATCCCAGCTTCTCATTTGGCTTTTGAGCAAGAGTGAAGCCAGAGAAGGGTATTTACAGCAAACGAGTGTCTTCTCTGTCTCCGTCCAGCATCGGTTTGTGGGTCACCACGGAAGGCCCGTGCCTGGGTTGGGAGCAGAGAACTCCAAACAGCTGAGTGCAGAACAAGTGGCCTGGAGAGCTGGGGGCACTGCTGTGGTCTAAGGTGATCAGGAAAATGTCTCACAAAGACATGGGCCATGGGCCACCAAACAACAGGGTCATACAATATACGATTTGAAAGGGATCGGGAGGATAAAGAGAAGTGAATCACGTCTGGATGGGGAATTCTGCTGGGGTTTCTTTTAAGACCTGAATCTGACGGAGGTCAGGCTGCACTAGCTGCCCCTCCTTGCCTCCTCCATCTGGTCAGGTCCTGCCTCCTGCCAACCACCCCGACTTCCGCCGCCTGACCTCAGGCCCTTGTGAGTCTCTCACTTGGGCTACCACTCCAAGGGCTTTATAAATAGCATCGTGGATCCTCTCTTCCTGCCACCAAAAGACCTGCTCCCACGGAACAGCCATCTGTGACTCCCTATTGCCAGCACGTTCATGCTCCGGCCCCGGCGTCCCCAGTCTTTCCCATCTGAGGCCTGCCTGCCTGCCTCCTAGCCACTCTTCCCTCACCCTGACCCCCATCCTGCCACTCCTCACCACCTCTAGTTCCCCACTGAGCCCATCCCCAAAATCCTGCCCAACCCATTACCTTGCAAATCCCCTTCCCCAACAAATTCTTATGCTTTCCAATATATAGCTTAAATATCATCTCTCTACATATTAGAGAGGTGATAAATATTACCCTAAATATTGTCTCTCTACATCCCGCTCTAAATACTCCAAGCCTGTCCTCTCTCCTTTACACTCCTCCAAGGGCTCTGATCTTAGTTGTCAGGCTGCATTTCGACTCTGTAGCAGTGCCCCGCCCTGGACCTGAGAGGTCCCTGGTCTCTTGTGGACTGGACATCACCACCACGCCCTGCTGAGGCTAGAAACTACAAATCTCAGAATCCTTTTCCCTCTGCGGTGCTTTGCCAATGGGAAATGTCGAAGATGATACAAAACCCAGATAATTTTTAGGTCTTACTAGCCACACAAGGCCACTTCGCAGACACTGCACAAGTCCCCCCACCTTGCAGGCTGGGGCCCACAGTTGGCAGCTTCTTGGACTTGCCTTGGACCCTGCTTTCATCTCCAGTGCCCCAGGCTGCAGCCTCCCCGGTCTTAGCAATCCCAACCCCCCTCAATACTCTTATTAGCTCCAATTCCTGTACTAAACCCCTTTATTCCCGCACGGTCTGTGGTGCTTTGATACTGGAGGTGCATCTTGTTCTTTTGAGTTTTGGGCACAGTGGCATCTGGTCCAGGGTAGGACATGCTTCGGAAGATGCTAGTGAGGGGTGGGGGGTGAGAAGCAAAGCAGCCTGGCTTTCCAGGACAATGTGTTCACTCTCTTCCTCCTCCAAACAATCTTTGCCACACCCTCCAGTCCTTGGAAAGGCACAGAATGTTTGAGGAAACCCGTGTCAAAGGCCAGCTGAGATATGTACTCAAAGAACACACGGGGCGATAAAGACAGGCTTTTAATGATGGGAAACATTTGGTAGTTAAAGATGCAAGAAATCTAATTTCCCATTTTAAAAAATAGAAATCGGGTTTCCTGGGTGGCTCAGTGGTGTGGCGCCTGCCTTCAGCCCAGGGCATGATCCTGGAGTCCTGGGATCGAGTCCCACATCAGGTTCCCTGCACGGAGCCTGCTTCTCCCTCTGCCTGTGTCTCTGCCTCTCTCTCTCTCTCTCTCTCTCTCTGTCTCATGAATAAATAAAATCTTTTAAAAAAATTTAATTAATTAAAAATTAAAAAAGAGAAATCCACTCATGAGATTGAAAGGAATCATGAAAAGGAAGAATGAAAGCAGGTGGGAGAAACTTTTAAAACAGCGCAGAGCTGAAAGCAACACTGACTGAGCCACTCTGAGCCCAGAACGAGGAGGAACTACACGTACTTTCTCTGCCCTGTCAGAAGTTTAGAGACAACTTGGGAAGTCCTCAAAGGAGACAGAGTGAGCAAGGGGTCCTGGGAGACTTGAGGGAGCCTGGGGTCCTGGCCAGCTGGAGCGAAGTCCTGCAGGAGCCTCGCGTAAGCACTCAGAGGGAAGGAAGATGAGCCCCCTCACTGGCCCTCTAGGCCTCCTCAGGAGCAGGAACACAGATTGGCAGAAAGGACATGACGGAGAAACTCTCCTGAGAGTTTAGCATCTGGTCTCTGGCGGCCTCAGGGCCCTCACACCTTGACACCTCTCTGCAAGGTCCAACCAGGGGAGAAGAAAGAACAGTTTCCTTTGTTCTGTTTCCTGTGTCCTCTGCCCGGCTCCCTTACATCTTATTCCAAGAGCAAGAGCTCAGGGATGTGAATCAGGACAAATGTATAGTCCCTCACCTGAGCCCAAATTTATGAACCTGTCCTTCCAGAGTCAGCAAAACGTGATGAGCAGACCGTTCCAGGAGGTGCCGGATAAACTCCCCAACTGGTGCACAATACCCACGGCCGCACACAGCCACCCAGCCACCCCTACTGCCAACAGACAGGCTGCTGTGGGCACGGGGCAGGGGAGGACATAGCCCCGAGGCCCCCAAAACGGGAACAATCTGGGAGCGGCAACCAGCAGCGGCCCAGCCCCGAACAGCTCACTTACCGGGAATGGGAGACAAAGTCATACACAGGAATCTGCACTGTTTTCCCTTCAGTGATTTCTTTGAGGGTTTTGAAGATGAGTTCATTGTCAAAGGCATCTGAAGGAAATCAAACTGTTAAAATGGCTCTTGATTTTAAAATGCTTTCTCCTGTAATCATACACATATATTTCATCCAGAAGAGTGCATACACCCCCACCAAAAAAAAGCCAGATCTCTACCCTAAGCAGAAGGTAAACTTCCTGGATCTCAAAATAGAATCGTAATCGAATGCAGTCTGAGAAACTCATTTTTTTTCTACATATCTCACCCTTGGCCTCAGACATCTATCTCTCCTCCATGTAGAGCTGCTGTCTTGGGAACTGGCCTACGATAACCTGGAAATCATTCGCACGACTAGGGGATGTGCGCACACAAGTTTTGATTCCAGGCACCAAGTTTTAATTACAACAGTTGCAAGAACCAAGACCAGCTAAAGGGTGATGTGCGGATCTGGGACTGTCAGAGCAAGTCACTCAGGCAGACATCCTGGACTGTCTGTCGTCCATGGTCCTTTCTGCCAGTGGGCTGAGTTTCACACCCTGCCATGTGCAGACACATGTGGGATGGGGGAGCAGGGGGAGGCAAGCAGGGGCTGCTTCAGATCACAGGAAGCAGAAGAACCAGCCGTGTTCGTGCTAGCCCGTGTCTGGCCAATCTCAAGGAACAGGCTCGCGTGGAGTCACCCCTGTTCAGAGGCAGATGCAATCCATATTCAATAAGCCACACATTGTGTGATGTGTTCCAAAATTCCTTCTTTAGGCCCCACCAAAACCCTGAAGGTATTTATTAATCTTCCATTTTTTTTTATAGAAAAGAGATTCCAAGGAGTCAAAGAGCTCCCTCGGTCAACCAGCACACACACTCACACACACACCCTCAAGTCCTGACTCACCCGGGTGATCAAAATTGAACTGGCCCTTCAGGGCTTTGGCCTTCTGCTCCGAAGTGAGGACACGATAGAAGCTATCCTGGCTCAGGATGACCACCTGCTTCTGACGACAGTCCACCTCATTCTGTCCCAGGAGCTGCACAATCTTAGCGCAAACAGAAGACTGTGGAAAAGAAGAGAAGGCCAAGGATTAGAGGGAGAGTCACCAACTGATGCACACGCCCTATGCAAGGAGCTTCGGGAAGGAAGACTCCAAAGGCTACCATCTTGTCTGAGGGATCAGAAGGCTAAAGGAGAAAGTCTGCTGAGAGGCAAGTGGGGGGTGGGGGTCCTCAGAGTCTCTTCCTCCCCTTCCTAAACACAACTTACTACTCTTACTACTCGCAGGTATCTATCTGCAGGGGGTTGCAGCGGGGAGGACAGTAATTTCTGCCTCTTCTTCCACAAAATCTTTTCTGAAGTCCCTAATAACAAAGAACACGAGGGGCACCTGGGTGGCTCAGTGGGTTAAGCACCTGCCTCAGGCTCAGGTCATGATCCCGGGGTCCTGGGATGGGGTCCCGTGTCACCAGCCTCCCCGATCAGTGGGGCGTCTGCTTCTCCCTCTCCCTCCTCCTCCCTTGCTCATGCTCTCTTTTCTTGCAAATAAATAAATAGATAAGATAAATTTAAAAAATATTTTAAAATAAACAAGAACACAAACTTATTTATCCCTGCTCATGCCCCAGTACAGACACACAAGAAACAGCAGAAAGTGGACAGAGGGTACCCTGACGACGTGCTGAGGGCTCAGAGGGCTCCTGGGTCATGCAGTGACAGCGCGCGCACGTGGAATCAAAACCCATAGCCAGGGAATCCGGCCAGTTAGCTGCCAGGCCAACGTCATGGCTTTCATCCTATGTCCATGGGTTCCTTTTTGCTCTAGTGCATAGCCATGGACTTGCTCACACTCACAGTGAGCCTAGTGGCCACTTCACAGACGTGTGCCACCTCTTATGGACTAGAAGGACATGGGACTCCAAACATGACCAACGCCTAAAACAACATGGGGTATCCCTGCTCCGAATGGGGCAGCGGGTTCCAGGTGACGGCAAGCCTACACGCTTTGTGTTGTGGTGTGGGCAGTACACACAGCTACCTGTGATATTGCGAAAATGAGAAATACGTATTTAGTCCTTGCATTTCTGGCACACAGTTCTCAACATCAATTTCCTAAGTGAGGGGAGAGGCACACCGGTCTTTGTTATGTTAACGAGGAGGCTTCTGGAAAGCACCTAAGGCTGGGGCCAGTTGCCAGAGGAACCAACCCTGTGATTAGCAGGTTAGAACTTTCCCTCCTATCTCCCTGACCTCCCAGGAGGGGAGGAGCTGGAGGCTGAAATCAGTGGCCAACACCAACGATATAGATATAACCGGTCCTGCTGATGTCATGAAGCATCCATACAAATCCAAGAGGATGGGGTCTGGTGAGCTTCCTGGTTGGTGAACACGTGGAAATGTGGGGAGAGTGTCCGAGAATTGCTTGTTGATATGGGGAAGCCCCCCTCAACACACACACACACACACACACACACACACACACACACCTGCTGGAACTGGAATAGGGTACAGAACCTAAAATCTACTTTTTCTCTCCCATAGTAGAGTCCCCATAAAAAGAAAAGCATAAAAACAAGCACATTAAAAAAAAAAAATGAGATAGTAAAGGACAGTATTTATCAAATAGCTTGTTTCTTTTTTTCATTTCATGCATATTAATCTAAAAATAAGGATGTCTATATTACAAACACCCACAAGCCGTAACCAAGCCTCCTTATGGAGCTGGCTGACCTAATTATAAGAGATGAAAAATGTGGCATAGTTAGATTTCTGTGGCTCAGTCTTGCTTCACTATGGAACTTACTTTACCAACTGGTTTTAACAAGGAAAAACCAGGACACTTTTATAAAGTTACATTTCCCATAAATTCTGTATTTGATTTCTCCAAGCGTAAGGAAAACTGGCCATTCCTGTTGCCCTAGTCAACCCACATGAGACTATTTTGCACAATATTTCCTGTTGTACAAAATGTGAGACACAACAAAATAAGGATCTTTGGAGGAATGCTATTTTGACTCAATTGTTAATTATTTGAAAACTATTTTACTTTTCTGACATTTACCCGTATTATCAGAACAGCATTTAAAACAGGATTCTGGGAACAGCAGCTATGCCAGGAAAAAAAAAATTATAGAAAGATAAAACTTGCACATGACTTAAGTTAGATTCAAAAATGAAAATACCACAACAGAATCAAAGGCTCTATACAGTTATAAACTATACATTTTTAAACAGGTGCCAGCCCATCATTTCCTTTTCCTAACTCCCATCTGGTTCTTACATCCTAAGGCTACGCAGGGTAAAGTCTATAGATATAGCTTTTATTAGCAGAATTCTAGAAGACCAAAGAACAAAAATGAAAAGAAGGCTTCATAGGGCCAGATATTTAATCTACCTGATTATTCACAGGGTGGTATTTTTTACTTATAGTTAAGACCCGTTAAATATTTTTAAGTATGTATAGCAATCTCTCTACTACCAAAAAAAGTGTATATAACGAGGTTACATTACCTAATTTTGGAGGTAAACAATCATTTCCCTTAACCCAGGTACAACCGAGGACAAATGGGTACAATGGCCAACAAAATCGGGTTAATGAACACATATAGAAAGCCAGTGTTCATCACAATTTCTTTTTTAAGATTGTATTTATTTGACAGAGAGAGAGAGAGAGAGAGAGAGCATGAATGGGGGGGGGAGGAGCAGATGGAGAAGGAGAAGCAGGCTCTTTCTCTACTGAGCAAGGAGCCAGATGCAGGACCTGATCCCAAGATCCTCGGATCCTGACATGAGCCTAAGGCAAACGCTTAACCGACTGAGTCACCCAGGCACCCCATCACAGTTTCTTTTCAAGGCTTAAGTCTTGCTGTTTTGTAGGTCCACAGCTATATGTCTCGGCTACATGTTTTCCATGGGCCTGTTTGGTGACCCTTCTTTCTACAAACACACCACCATCACTTATAACTGATTTATTAAGTCAGGCCCTAGGCCAAGTGCTCCACTACAACCACCCCTTATAGTCACAAGCGCTATCCTTCCCCAGATGTGGAAACCAGGTGAAATGACTTGCCCACAAGCCTGCTTCCTTTTTTTCCCCTCAACCTAAAATGTAGTCAGAAGTCCCAAGGCAGAAGTCCTTTATCATGGAGATAAATACCATTGCATGAACAAGCAAAGAAACACTTGTCTCCAAATCAGTCTAGATTTTTCTAGTATTTTCTTTCTCCTGGAAGTTGTCAAAAATGGCCCCTAAAAAATCTAGACAGCTGTTGAATCAGGGGCAACAGGTACACAGGAGCTCTTTATGCTATTCCTCTCCTTAAGGATAGGTTTGAATTTTTACACAACAGGGAGGAAGGAGCCCTACGGAGATGCCTCCTTGGGATGACTGAATGGTCTTTGCCTTCTTTAACCTCCTCTTCTTTCACCTTTCATTTTAATTTACCTTTTCCCTATTCCTGCCCTCTTCAACAGGATGAAATGGAACTCTAAGGTGTCTCGTTCTCTCAAGAAAGGAAATAATGCATTAATGACTAGGGCTGGAGAAGGCAGGCAGTCGTGAGCTTACAGAACACTAAAAGTGGGCAAGGCTGCAATCACCGTGGTGGGCTAAGACTTAAAATAATTATGTCAAAAAAAAATAAAAATAAAATAAAATAAAATAAAATAAAATAAAATAAAATAAAATAAAATAAAATAAAATAATTATGTCATAGGAAGACAAACACCGTAGGACTCCATTTAAAGGAGGTATCTAGAATAGTCAAATTCACGGAAAGTAGAAGAGAGGTTGCCAGGGGCTGAGGGCGGGGGGAAGTGGGGAGTTGTTCAAGGAGTATAGTTTTACTTTTACATGATGAAAAAGCTCTGGAGACTGGTTGGAGACTGGTTGCCCAACGATGTGGCTATACTTAATACTACTGAAATGCACGCCTACATATGGCTATGGTGAATGTTACAGCTGGAGGTGGGCTTCGTTTTACAGGATATCTCCATATTCAGTGCAATGTATCCAGAATATATTCTTTCCTGCCACTTCTGGCACATTATTTTAAAGGTGGGGAGGTGAAAAATAAGCCAGATAGGACTGTGGGTTGCTGTCTGAATATATGGAGTGAAAGGCCAGGTCAACAGGAGGTTAACTTTAGAAGAAGAGAGAGGAAAAAAAAATTATATCGATGCGTTTTTATACACACACATATGGAACAATCAGTGAAGGGGACATACACTTTCATCCCTTGTATGGCATTTTGAAGACACCATCTCCTTTTAACTCCATTACAATAAGATGTAACTACTTTATCTCTTTTTTATCTAATGAGGAACCAAAGCTTAGAAGCCTCGCTCAAGGTCACAGGCCTGAATCTCAACCTGCAGGTCTAACTCCGAATGCCCAATCCTGTTCACTATGCCAGCACTGAAGCCCTGATATTCTCCATAAATGTACTCTACTTCCAGAGGTCAGTGATGGGGGAACGGAGACGGGGAAGGAATTGGTTAGGAATATGCTATGGTTTTGTCCCACTGCATCATGAGACTCAACGTAATGGTAAATGTCACTGAATTTCAGATAAGTAAAGGCAGGCAAGTGATATCCGTTATCAAGAAGAAGCTGAAAGTACACACACACACACACACACACACACACACACACACACACACATGTTCAAGGTATCTGGAACCTAAATTTGGAGTCTAACTGTTAGAAGCCAGGAACTGGGAGCCCAAAGGCTCTGTCATTCTGGGAACATGCCAGCATTTGACCTGATGATCGGGCCAGGCCACCAGATGTGCTGACCCACGTGCCAGCCTCCTTTCTCAGAGACACACTTCCTATTCGGGAAGCCCCAGGAGTGAGCAGTTGCAGGCCCTCCCAGCTGGCCGCTTCCAACAGGGCAGCTGAGTGGCCACGGGGTCCTGCGCTGCCATCGCAAGTAGTATTGCTCTAAAACGATCCTTACATAGGACGTGGCCCAGAGGGTCCAGACACCATCTAACCCTGCCGTTTTGTGTGTATACACACACACACACACACACACACACACACACACACACACACCCCTA